AATCAAAGTTTGGTAAAAACGAAAATAAAAATTTATTTCATCCAAATTTATTTAATCTAATCATCTAAAAATTTTCAGAGTTCTAGAAGGAAATGAACCCTACACAATCCTGAAAAATAGAAAATTTTATTTTAATTTTTTAGTAGTAGCACCCTCACCCGAACGCCATCAGACAATCAAAATTTGGTAAAAACGAAAATAAAAATTTATTTCATCCAAATTTATTTATTCTAATCATCTGAAAACTACCAGAGTTCTAGTAGGGTCTGAACCCTACACAATCCTGAAGAATAGAGAATTTTATTTCCATTTTTTAGTAGTAGTACCCTCACCCAAACGCCATCAGACAATCAAAATTTGGTAAAAACAAAAATAAAAATTTATTTCATCCAAATTTATTTAATCCAATCATCTAAAAATTTTCAGAGTTCTAGTAAGGACTGAACCCTACACAATCCTGAAGAATAGAGAATTTTATTTCCATTTTTTAGTGGTAGCACCCTCACCCGAACGCCATCAGACAATCAAAATTTGGTAAAAACGAAAATAAAAATTTATTTCATCCAAATTTATTTAATCCAATCATCTGAAAATTACCAGAGTTCTAGTAGGGACTGAACCCTACACAATCCTGAAGAATAGATAATTTTATTTCCATTTTTTAGTGGTAGCACCCTCACCCGAACGCCATCAGACAATCAAAATTTGGTAAAAACGAAAATAAAAATTTATTTCATCCAAATTTATTTAACCTAATCATCTGAAAATTACCAGAGTTCTAGTAGGAACTGAACCCTACACAATCCTGAAGAATAGAGAATTTTATTTCCATTTTTTAGTAGTAGCACCCTCACCCAAACGCCATCAGACAATCAAAATTTGGTAAAAACGAAAATAAAAATTTATTTCGTCCAAATTTATTCAATCCAATCATCTAAAAATTTTCAGAGTTCTAGAAGAAACTGAACCCTACACAATCCTGAAGAATAGAGAATTTTATTTCCATTTTTTAGTAGTAGCACCCTCACCCGAACGCCATCAGACAATCAAAATTTGGTAAAAACGAAAATAAAAATTTATTTCATCCAAATTTATTTATTCTAATCATCTGAAAATTACCAGAGTTCTAGTAGGGACTGAACCCTACACAATCCTGAAGAATAGAGAATTTTATTTCCATTTTTTAGTGGTAGCACCCTCACCCGAACGCCATCAGACAATCAAAATTTGGTAAAAACGAAAATAAAAATTTATTTCATCCAAATTTATTTAATCCAATCATCTGAAAATTACCAGAGTTCTAGTAGGGACTGAACCCTACACAATCCTGAAGAATAGATAATTTTATTTCCATTTTTTAGTGGTAGCACCCTCACCCGAACGCCATCAGACAATCAAAATTTGGTAAAAACGAAAATAAAAATTTATTTCATCCAAATTTATTTAACCTAATCATCTGAAAATTACCAGAGTTCTAGTAGGGACTGAACCCTACACAATCCTGAAGAATAGAAAATTTTATTTCAATTTTTTAGTAGTAGCACCCTCACCCGAACGCCATCAGACAATCAAAATTTGGTAAAAACAAAAATAAAAATTTATTTCATCCAAATTTATTTATTCTAATCATCTGAAAATTACCAGAGTTCTAGTAGCGACTGAACCCTACACAATTCTGATGAATAGAGAATTTTATTTCAATTTTTTAGTAGTAGCACCCTCTCCCGAACGCCATCAGACAATCAAAATTTGGTAAAAACGAAAATAAAAATTTATTTCATCTAAATTTATTTATTCTAATCATCTGAAAATTACCAGAGTTCTAGTAGGGACTGAACCCTACACAATTCTGAAGAATAGAGAATTTTATTTCAATTTTTTAGTAGTAGCACCCTCACCCGAACGCCATCAGACAATCAAAATTTGGTAAAAACGAAAATAAAAATTTATTTCATCCAAATTTATTTAATCTAATCATCTAAAAATTTTCAGAGTTCTAGAAGGAACTGAACCCTACACAATCCTGAAGAATAGAGAATTTTATTTCCATTTTTTAGTGGTAGCACCCTCACCCGAACGCCATCAGACAATCAAAGTTTGGTAAAAACGAAAATAAAAATTTATTTCATCCAAATTTATTTAATCTAATCATCTAAAAATTACCAGAGTTCTAGTAGGGACTGAACCCTACACGATCCTGAAGAATAGAGAATTTTATTTCAATTTTTTAGTAGTAGCACCCTCACCCGTACGCCATCAGACAATCAAAATTTGGTAAAAACGAAAATAAAAATTTATTTCATCCAAATTTATTTAACCTAATCATCTGAAAATTACCAGAGTTCTAGTAGGGACTGAACCTTACACAATCCTGAAGAATAGAGAATTTTATTTCAATTTTTTAGTAGTAGCAGGTTCACCCGTACGCCATCAGACAATCAAAATTTGGTAAAAACGAAAATAAAAATTTATTTCATTCAAATTTATTTATTCTAATCATCTGAAAATTACTAGAGTTCTAGTAGGGACTGAACCCTACACAATCCTGAAGAATAGAGAATTTTATTTCAATTTTTTAGTAGTAGCACCCTCACCCGAACGCCATCAGACAATCAAAATTTGGTAAAAACGAAAATAAAAATTTATTTCATCCAAATTTATTTAATCTAATCATCTAAAAATTACCAGAGTTCTAGTAGGGACTGAACCCTACACAATCCTGAAGAATAGAGAATTTTATTTTCATTTTTTAGTAGTAGCACCCTCACCCGAACGCCATCAGACAATCAAAATTTGGTAAAAACGAAAATAAAAATTTATTTCATCCAAATTTATTTATTCTAATCATCTGAAAACTACCAGAGTTCTAGTAGGGACTGAACCCTACACGATCCTGAAGAATAAAGAATTTTATTTCCATTTTTTAGTAGTAGCACCCTCACCCGAACGCCATCAGACAATCAAAATTTGGTAAAAACGAAAATAAAAATTTATTTATTCCAAATTTATTCAATCTAATCATCTGAAAATTACCAGAGTTTTAGTAGGGACTGAACCCTACACAATCCTAAAGAATAGAGAATTTTATTTCAATTTTTTAGTAGTAGCACCCTCACCCGAACGCCATCAGACAATCAAAATTTGGTAAAAACAAAAATAAAAATTTATTTCATCCAAATTTATTTATTCTAATCATCTGAAAATTACCAGAGTTCTAGTAGGGACTGAACCCTACACAATCCTAAAGAATAGAAATTAATATTTCAATTTTTTAGTAGTAGCAGGTTCACCCGTACGCCATCAGACAATTAAAATTTGGTAAAAACGAAAATAAAAATTTATTTCATCCAAATTTATTTATTCTAATCATCTGAAAATTACCAAAGTTCTAGTAGGGACTGAACCCTACACAATCCTGAATAATAGATAATTTTATTTCCATTTTTTAGTAGTAGCACCCTCACCCGAACGCCATCAGACAATCAAAATTTGGTAAAAACGAAAATAAAAATTTATTTCATCTAAATTTATTTAATCTTATCATCTGAAAATTACCAAAGTTCTAGTAGGGACTGAACCCTACACGATCCTGAAGAATAGATAATTTTATTTCAATTTTTTAGTAGTAGCACCCTCACCCGAACGCCATCAGACAATCAAAATTTGGTAAAAACGAAAATAAAAATTTATTTTATCCAAATTTATTTAATCTAATCATCTGAAAATTACCAAAGTTCTAGTAGGGACTGAACCCTACACGATCCTGAAGAATAGAGAATTTTATTTCAATTTTTTAGTAGTAGCAGGTTCACCCGTACGCCATCAGACAATCAAAATTTGGTAAAAACGAAAATAAAAATTTATTTCATCCAAATTTATTCAATCCAATCATCTGAAAATTACTAGAGTTCTAGTAGGGACTGAACCCTACACGATCCTGAAGAATAGAGAATTTTATTTCAATTTTTTAGTAGTAGCAGGTTCACCCGTACGCCATCAGACAATCAAAATTTGGTAAAAACGAAAATAAAAATTTATTTCATCCAAATTTATTCAATCCAATCATCTGAAAATTACTAGAGTTCTAGTAGGGACTGAACCCTACACAATCCTGAAGAATAGAAAATTTTATTTCAATTTTTTAGTAGTAGCAGGTTCACCCGTACGCCATCAGACAATCAAAATTTGGTAAAAACGAAAATAAAAATTTATTTCATCCAAATTTATTCAATCCAATCATCTGAAAATTACCAGAGTTCTAGTAGGGACTGAACCGGACTGACCACTAGCATGTGTATCTTAACACTTTTAAATAATTATTCTAAAATAAAAAATTATACAATAGGTATATATTGTATTGAGGAAGCTAAATGATCATGAAATGATCAACTTGTTTATTATTACTTTTTTTTCAATTACTGTTTTTCTACTATTATTGCTATTTACTTTTACTATTAGTAAGTTATACAAATTGTCAATATTATAATAACTTTCTAAATTACTACTTTTATTTTAACTATTACCAAATGCTTGTTTTTACTATTAATTCTGAAATAATTGTCCCTAAATAATCAGTAGTAAAAGTGTATTACAGTCAGTCATTCCTTAATTTCAGTAAAACTTGCTGTCAGTAGTAGTGGTAAATATTAAGTCAGACTCATATTTAAACTTTTTTTATTAACAGTTAAATTAAATATTACCTGGTAAGATTTGATGCTATAAATTTTATTTTATGATATTAATATAAATTAATTTAATATAATAAATTTATTTGCATTTATTTCGTTGATTCAACAAAAATTTGGTTATTTCAAACAAATTTTTTTTTGACTCTAGAATAAACCAGTAATATTTTAGTAATATTGGATAAATTTTACATTAGTAACATTTTTCGAAAGTAAATTTAAAAAAAAGAAGACATTATACACCATACAGATTATTATTATTCAACCAGTGAATTTCAACAGTAATAAAAAAAAAAAAATTGAACAATGAGGAAAATAAGGAAAAATGAAGAACAGAAAGTTGCATTGGAAAAAGGGAAAGATATACCTACGGTATATACAATATATATGTATAGAGAGAGAATATAAAAAGAGAGAGAAGGATAGAATTGTATTTAATGCCTGTGCGTTGAATTGAGAAAGAACGATTCCAGTAGACATTGAGGCAGCGCTGAGTATGTTGCGGACTATCGACCGTACATTCAACGCATGCGCTTCGACGAAAAAAAAAGAACCCTCTAAACCACCCTCTCTTAAACCGTCTTACCGGCGACGCGTCGCGACGACGTCGACCATCAACCACGGGACAGTGCCTCCCACGTTGCCAATCAGTATCATTTTCCATTTCTTGCCCAATAAAATTAATAAATTTTCTTCTCCAAAATCACCCTCCCCGCCCCGAAACGAAAAAAGAATTTAAAAAAAATTAGTCCTTGGGGAACCAAAAACAAAAAAAAATTACCTAGTGAAAACGTCAAGTCAAAGTGAGACACATAATCGATTCTCGTTCGTAGAAAAAAGGAAGTGATCGGTGAAGTGTTTCTTTGGAAAATTTTTTAAACAGAAGATCGATCACCGTCCTCAAGGTCGGATGCACCAGGAAATGGAGTGGTAGGCCCCATATAAAGGCCCCTAGACACCGCCTTTTTTTCTTTCACTCCCCTCTTTCTTTCTTTTTTACTCACTATTCTCCATCCTTTTTCTATTTCTCTCTCTCTCTCTCTCTCTCTCATTCCATTTTTACACCCCCCCCCCCTTCTTTTCTCTTTTCTCTATTTCACTCTCACTTCGCTAGAGTCGCGGCATTTTGTCATCCATCTTTTTTTGTCCATGAAATAAAAAAATTTTCTTCCTTCAATTTTTTTTTAACTAAAAGAATTTTTGTAATGGTGAAATTTTAATCATTGTGTTAAGGAAAATTTTTTTTGAAAAGTGTAGAAAAAAAGAAAAATTGATGATGAAATTCTAATGGAATTTAAATTTTCATATTGTGTGACTGTAGTATGATACGCAGAAGTACGTAAGGAAGGGGGCTCTCGCGTGGATAGGGTGGTCTCTGAAGGTGCCGAAGAGGAAAATTTTTTTCGAAAAAAAGAAAAAAAAATACGTCTTCTTCTTGAGTGGTGAAGGCCAAAAGTCTGACGGCCAATCATCGTCAGCATCCGACGGTCCTTAAGTGACTGGTGTACAACTCATTGTTCCACTGCCCCACACAACGCGGCCTCATGATTGGTTCGTTCTGGAATCTGTGCCGTGCGTGCCCTTCAATGCCAATAGATAAGGTGACAAAAAAAAATTATTTTTTTCGAAAATTGTTACATATTTGGGTACTTTGAAATTTTTTTTACTATTGCTATTAATTTTTTACTATAGGGTTTTTTTCTATAGGGATTTTTTTACTGTAGGGTATTTCCACTGTAGGGTTTTTTTACTATAAGGTTTTTTTTCCAAAGTTTTTCCCTAAAATTTATTTCATAAGGTTTTTTCCCCAAAAAAACATTTTTCAAGACTTTTTCCTCAGGGTTTTTTTCAAGTTATTCTCCTCAAGATTATCTTTCTATTTTTTTTCCCTAATTTTATTTCCCAAAATTTCCTAAGATTTATTTCCCAAGACTGGTTCCTAGGGATTTTTCACTAAGAGTTCACCCCCCTGATATTATTTCCAAGATTTTCTTTCTGAAGTTTATTTCTTATGGTTTTTTTCCTAAAGATTTTTTCCTATATTTTTTTCTTAAGTTTTTTCCTTAAGATTTATTTTACAAGGTTTTTTACCTATTGGTTTTTTCCAAAATTTGTCCCTAAGGTTTTCTATTTTAAGTTTATTATCAAAAAATTGTTTCCTAAGGGATTCATTCAAGTTTTTCTCCCTCATATTTATTTTCCAAGGTTTTTTCCCTAAGGATTTTGAGCAGGGTTTTTTACTAAAGTTTTCTCTCTATAGGTTTCTCCCTAAAGATTTTTTTCTAGGGTTTTTTCACTAAGTGATAAAATCATTATTATTATCATTTTTTTACTAAGGGTTTTTGCTATGGTTTTCTCCCTAAAATTTTTTCTCCCAAGGTTTTTTTTTTCTAAAAATTCTTTCCGCAAACTTTTACCAAAGGTTTTATCGTTAAAATTTTTTTCACCAAGTTTTTCCCCTAAGAGTTTTTCCCAAAATTTCTTTATAAGATTTTCTCTTTTAAATTTATTTTCAAAAATTTTTTCCGCAGGGTTTTCTACTAAGGTTTGCTTTCTAAATTTTTCTCCTTAATGATTTTTTCTAGAGTTTTTCACTAAGGGTTTTCCCCAAGGTTTTCTCTTTTAAATTTAGTTTCAAAAATTTTTTTCCTAAGGGTTTTTTTAAGGTTTTTTCCCTAAGGGTTTCCCGCAGGGTTTTTTACCAAAGTTTTCTCCATAAAAAGTTTTTTCTAGGGTTTTTTCACTAAGAGTTTTCCCCTGGTTATTATAATTAATTCTCTAACAGAAAACGACAATTTACAATTATCCCTAATGTTTTCTCCCTAAGGTTCAATTCTCAAGGTATTTTCCCTAAAAACGTTTTCTTAGTTCTTCTAAAAATTTTTTGTTCCTAGTTTTTCTCCCAATATTTTCTCCCTAAAAATTTCTTATTATTCAAGACATTTTCCCTAAGGTTTTCTCCCTAAGGTTACTTCCCTAAAGTTTTTTTCCTAGTTTTTCTCCCCATATTTTCTCTCTAAATTTTTTTTTCTAGTTTTTTTCCAAATATTTTTTCCTAAAGCTGTTTTTTCCAAGGTTTTTTTTCTAAGGTTTCTTTCAAACATTTTTTCCTAAGGTTTTTTCCCAAAGAGTTTTTTTACTGGAGTATATTCGCAAAATAAAGTACAATACACTCAGATGGTAAAAAATCATTAACAAAAAAAAATCTCTAAAAATTTTTAAATCATAAAATAAAAAAATAAAAATGTAAATAATATTTTCCTCCATAAAAATTCATATAGTTATTTTTATGACAAGAGAAAACAATATAGTAGTTATCACAGGAATAGTTTAGAGTCGATTAGTAAACCAGCAAGTGGGGGAAGTTATAAAATACAGTAAATCAATATTGGAACATAATTATCATTCCTTCTTTAATAACTCTTTTTTTTTAATGTAAATTATAAATCCTAAATTTTAAGCAAAATTTGAAATTAAAGAAAATGAAGAAATATAAAATACATAAACATTAAATTATAAATCAATTTTTCCTGAATTTTATTATCAATTAAGCCATTTGTATTACAAAATAATTAATTTATATTAGTCTATTAAAAGAATGAAATTATAAATAAAAATTATAGTTCAGTTTTATAGAAAACAATTGCAAATTAAAATTTTGACAGTTTTTTTAATCAAACAATTGTTTAACAATTATAATTATAACAAAAAAAAATTGAGAACGAAAATAAACTTTTTTCAAAATAAAATTTCGTTTATTGTGAGAATAAATAAATAATACTCATAGAGGATAATAATACGGGGTGTAAATTTTTCTAATTTAAACATATGACGTTCGGAAGTGATAAGTTTTTATATATATATAGTGTAATGAAACGTTTCGTGTCAATGGCCGACACTGACCCAGTAACTAACCTTATGCAACTTTTTATCATCGCAAGTAACTCGAATCGTTAATAAAGAACTTAAAAAAAAAATTTTTAAGCCTCTTTTTTTCATTAAGTAGAAATCCAAAAAATTTTCTTATAAATTAAAAATTATTTTTCACACTGCAGGTAAAGAAACATTTTTTACACTAAATTTTCATTTTTCCCAACAAATTTATTAAATTTATAAAATTTATTAAATTTATTAAAATTTATTAAAAAATTATTTTGAAAAATTTACGAAAATTTATTTCAATATTTTATTATTATTTTCCTTTTATGTCAAATATTGGGAATGAATATTGAAATGAAATGAAATATTTGAAAAAGTTATTAAAATTTATTGGAAAAATTTATTTAAAGGTGAATATATATTAAATTAAAAATTTTTATTTCATTTTAGAAAAAATGTAATATTGCAAAAAATAGTTTTTTTAAAAATAAAATAATTGTACAGGCTTTCAAATGTATACGTAGAATATTTTGCAGAAAATTTTGCACTTTATTCAAAATCAATTTTTCAAAAAATACTTTAACAAAATATGTTAATTTTTACTAAATATTTTCTAGAATTTATTATAAGAAATTTATGTTACAAAATTAATTTTACAAATTTGCAAAATCCTTTTTACAAAATCCAAATATTTTTCAAATTTTTTTCGCTTAGGTAAATGAGTAGAAAAATAATCAATATTTTGCATTTAATTAATGAGTAAAAATTCCTGAAGTGGCCCCCCTATTTTCGCAAAGTTGCAAAATTTGAAATAAGTATTTGTATTTGAAAGTACTAGTATCTGGTAATATTTTTACCAAGTATTTTAAAAATATTTAAATTATTTATATTTTTTATTGTTAATTAAAGATTTTTGAACCCTTTTAATAAAATAATTTTAACTATTTGAGTTTTTGCACAAATTGAACAAAAATTTATGGTCATATCAGTGAGTAAATGTACTTTCGAGTTACAAAATAAAAATTTTAAAAAATTAATTTTTTTTTATTTTTCAATAATTTTTTTATAAACAAATGCAATTTTAAGTGCTTTCTACACGCGATTTAAAAAAATTTTTTTTTGCTAAATGTTCTTTAGAATGTAGGTAAACAAGAACTGAAAAGAAATCTTAGTGCAAATGAAAAGCTTTTTTATAATTTGACTTTTTGTCGAGCGCTGCATACTGCGCGCAAGCAACGCCGCGCGAGAGCCAAGCACGTTCAACGGCGCCAGCCTGCATATTAGTACTTTGGAGAAAAAAATTTTACACACTTCTATGTATGGTAATAACATGTATCAATTGATTTATTTATTCACTTTTTTCGCTTACAGTTTACAATGGATTCTTAATTTTTTTTTGCTTTGAACAAACTATTAATTACCGATTTGTTATCTCCTGAAAATTGTTTGCATTCGATGGTTGTTGCATTTATAGGTTTAAAGTGATGGAACTGGCGTGTATTTTTAATCGTCAAAACGTTTTGGAATCGATTTTGGAGATTTTCTTCGTGGATTTTGTGCTCCTCGACAGAGCAAAAATCGAAATGAATATTTTTAAAGAAATTTCGCGCCCATAGGAAAAGGTCTTTGGCAGTTGTGATTCTACTCCCATTAATTCGCTGCAAACTGGTTTGATACGCGTGTCTTTTTACAGTCCCTCCTATTCCGTCGCAAGCTCCTTTTCCATGGGAGGTTGCGAAGAATACCCATTCCGCTCTTATCCCAAAATCTTCCTGATGGAGTGCTAAATTAACGAAGTTATATTTATTCTTATACTGTGAAGCAGCTCCATCAGAAAAGTAATAAATTTTTTGGATATTTTTATGCGCAAATTTTTCTTTTAAATAAGCCATCAATTTGGAGTTGAATAGGTGTACTGATTTTGTATCATGAGTTGTTTTTTCAGAAATCAAAACAAAATTGAGATTTTTAATACTGCCGTTTTCGCGATAATAAATTACATAGGGGTGCAACGTAGCTTGACTATTGGACCAGTGATGTGATTGAATCGCGTCTTGTACAAAAAAAGAATAATTTTCTGCAAAATCTAAACAGACCACCATTTCTAAATCTTCTAAATCCTTTTTTAGATTTTTAAAAAAAAACGCTTGTGATTTTGCTAAAAAATCGTGTTTCACTAAATCCGGAAATTCAAATCGAAGCTCAGTTAAGAAATCGTCCACTGATTTAATAGCTTCGTTTATTTCACATCTGTAAAACCAGATGAAATAAATTAATAAATAAAAAATATTAAAAATAAACATATAAAAAAATACAAAGAATATAAATACATGCAAAATTCCACATTCATTGTTTTCTAAAATTATATTTTTAACTATACTTAATTTGTAAAAAGTATCAATGATTTTCGATATTTAAATTGATGTATATAAATACTCTTGAAATAATCATTATATGATTTTTATATACAATAGTAAATTTTAGAAATTTATCTTTTATAATTACTTATTGACAAAAATAATTTTGTTTTTACTTTACACATTGTAAAAAAATTATATTTAATTAAAATTAATTAATTAATATCTCAAATACTTACCTATCTGTGGTTTTCCATTGGCTGTATTTAATTTCCGAAATAAGGTTTTTTTGAAATATTTCTTTCAATTCGTTAATGCAAGCTTCAATTCCAGGACATTCTTTGCATTGTAGAAAACAGCAATTC